GGGAAGCAAGGGAAACACACACCTACTTTATTTTTTCATGAATCCCTGTCTGTGTGGCCCCTGTTTCAGCAGAGAATTCCTGCACCCTCAGCGTCTGAACTGGCCAAATCCCTGCGGGGTCAGAGCCAGCAGCTCTGTGTGACCAGGACCCATCGTCCCTTTACAAGTGATGTGGTGAGTGCATCCCGGTGCCAAGCCCAGATGGAGTTGTTCCCCAGGCAGATTCCTTCCTCCGGGTCCTTTTATTTGTTCTTTTCTTTTTCTTGTCATCACTTACTTATTTGCAGATTTGTCAGCATTAGGGGTGGTGTCCCAGTGGCAGTTTGTGTTGGCTTTCCAGGGCTGCTTGGGGTTCCTGTGCTGTGGGAGGGGCAAAAACTCTGCAGGGATGGATGGATGAGACCAGGCAGCACAAACTGTGAGGTGGGGGGAGCCTGGGCTGGGGGTTTAGCACTGGAAGCTTGAGGAAAGAAAATTGAATTTGTGTTTGTGAATGGAAATGGCTTTGCAGAAAAAAATCCTGGAGAGAATGGGGTGGCTGGTGCTGCTGCTGTCGCGTCGTCTGTCCCTGCAGAACCTCACTGCTCCCGACCGGGGTTATTGTGCTGCCTAATTGCTTTTGGATGGTGTTCAGGCAGCAAAGTGGGGCAGCAGCAACTCTCCAGGCTGGTTTAACTCTTCTGTGGGGTGTAATTTCTGGTTGGTTACATGGGGAGGTGAGCTGGGACACTGGGTGGGCAGCAGTGGGGCTGGAGCTAAGAGGAGTGGGAGCTACAGCAGCACCAGACAGTAGGACCTTGGAGGTGGACAGGAGCTAAGTGAGCATTGAATGCAACCAGAAAATGGATTTTACTAAAAAAAAGTGAGGTTAAAACCTGCAGTTCAGTGTGGAAGGAGAAGAGATGTCTTTAGGATTTGGAATAATGGGATGGAGCAGCTCCTAGCTGGGGGAGCAGGACGGTCCATGAAGCTGTGCTGTGCACACTGGGCCCCATCCCATGGGCACAGAATAAATTAACATGTGTCACAAGTGTTTGGAGGGAAGAAGGCCTGTTACAGAAACCCAGCCCAGAGCAAGCTTGGGGAGGGCAGGGCGTTTAAGAGCTGTGGGGCCTCTCTTTGCTCCGTGGTGGAGACAGTGTTAATCGTTTGGGCTTAGTGGCGTGCAGTGGATCCCGGGCAGGAACAGGAGGGCTGTTAAGCAGGAGGAAATGGTTTGCTGTCTAGATGGGCTTAACACAATATAAACTACATGGTGCACAAGGAAAGCTAAATCCTGAAGTGGTGAAGGAGCTGGAGTCACCCTGCACAGCAGTGCAGGTGTGAGTGGGGTGAGGGGTTTCCTCATGGTGGTGGTTGCAGCTAATGCCGAAGCACAGTGTCCATGTGCCTTTTGCTTCAGACACAAAGGCATCTGCAATGACAACTGTGAGGCAGTTGTGTTGTTTTTCCCTTCCTGCTACTTTGACACCATCATTTTTTTCCAGACTAAAATTTCAGAACCATCTAGAAAGGAGACTGGGGGGAGAGGTGACCTAAACCTGAGCAAGGGGCTTCCTGCTCGGTACCATCAGCATCTGGCTCTGCCCAGCTCATCCAGGTGACATGTCCCTCCCTCTCTCCTTCCCTCCATCTTTACCTGGCTCCACATGGCATATTGAGGAACCTGGATGGGGAAAACTCAAGGTGCCTTAGTGCATTTTCCCAGACTGTTGATGTGGACAGGCACAGTAAGGGCAGGGTCTGCCTTCCTTATAGATGCCCTTCACAAGCTCTTTCTTAGACAGGTTGGCTAGAAAAAAATAGGATTTTTTTGTGTTGGGGAAAACCTGTCCAGACTCTGAGAAAAATTGGTAAACCAGTATTTTAATTATAATTCATTGTTTTGTTTTGTTTTGGAGTTGTCTTGTTTTGGAATTGCACCTTTGGCCAGGGTACATCTCGCCAAAGAGGCTGTGGTAGTGCCCCAAGCCTTCATCTTGGTTCTCATTTAGTTTAGAAATGTAATTAAAGGAGGGTAAAAAAGGAAGCGACAGTTACTGACTCTCAAAAAGTGAAGGGTTTAGGCCAGACTCCTACTAGGAAAATAAACAGAATTCCATTTTTTTGTTTCAAGTTCTTCCCATATATTGAATTTCCGTGCTTGGTGACAAGGGGGATCTGCCCGAGTGAGCAGCGATTGGATTCAGATGGCTTTGAATTGCACTTCGATTTGCTTTGGAAAGCTGGAGCTGTCCTTGGAGAGCAGGGTTTGGACCCGAGCTTGAGGCCTTGTTCTCTAAAGAGCACAGACTTTGCAGTCTGAGTTATCAAGCTGTAACTTTTCATGGCTGTGTTTTTTTGCCCAGTGTCCTGCCCAGCAGTGCTGTGACAGAGCCTTTCCTTCCTGAATTAGGCCAGCGTTTGATCTGAGCCTAGAAACCCCTTTTAATTGAGGCAAGTTGCAGCAGCCGGCTCTTTTGGCACGTGTGGGTGCAGGTACCCACTCCCCGCTCCTTCTCAGCTCCTCTCCTGCAAAAGGAGGAAACCCATGTTGGGATAATTTCTGCGGAGAAGAAGTAAATTTGGGACGGTGGAAAGCGGGTTGAGCTCGTCCCAAGTGTATTCACTACCAGGACCCCCTGATGTGGGGCTGTGCCGGTCAGGGGTGAGCCCTGGCAGTGGGGTGGGAGGTGTTTTGGTGGTTACCGTGAGCACCAGGGTTCCTCTGGGCATTCAGTGGTGACAGCAGATGATCCCAGGGGAACCGCCTTGGGAGCCAGGGGGATTGAAGATGCTCTGAGCCTTGGGTGATAAATGTGTCGTGGCCCAGGCCCGGAAATGTGGCAGGGAAGGATGTGAGTGACAGAGGATTCATATCCCGGAAACGCCGTGGTGTAACGGCTCGGGAATTCAGCGGGATAAATGCATTTGCATGTCCTGCTGCAGACAATCTGCTTAATGTGGGAAGCAGAGCTTCCTGTAGCACTGAGTCAGTGGGGAAGGGAAAACCCTGAGAGCCAGGAAGGGCCGGGGAGAATTAAGCAGGTAAACCCATTAGCAGTGACCACCTCTTTGTGTGGGGATTACACAAAGCTGCTGCTTTTGGATACTCAGTATCTCCAGAGGAGTGAGGACTGGGCGATGGGGCCTCTTCCCCCTCCTGAGGGGCTCGACCCCAGAGCTGGGATTAGCACTTGCCACAAGCCACCCTCACTAGCCAGAACAAATTGCTGCACGTGCTGAGAAAGAGCCCAACCTGCACGAACTGCAGTGATGCTGTGAGGTGGAGGTTTGGCAGACCTTGCTCTGGCAAATCCCTCCATTCTTCCCAGTGGGACCTTCCCTATGGAAATTGCTCCTCTTTATTGAACAGATTTACACTGTCCCACTACCCTGGCCAGAGATTTACCCTCCACAGCTCAGGAACTCTTCAGATACTGGCTCTGAAAACAGAGTCACAGCACAAATGGGAATAGCTGTGCTGTCCCAAGAGCTTGTTTCAGTCAGCACATCCTGAAGTGGTTTGGCATAACTGTGCTCAGGAAAGGCTTGGGACAGTGAGGAGGGAGGTCTGGGATGCAGCAGGGGGTGCTGGAGATGGGTGTATGGAGATGGGGGTGTGGGCAGTGCTGCTGCAGCTCATTGGCCAGGGAGAGCTTCAAGGATGGGCATCATGAGGTGCCAGGCTGGGGCTGTGATTGCAGGGACTCCCTCAGTCCTTGCCGGAGCCTCAGAGGGGAAGATGCTCCACGGCATCCATGGTGCCCAGCACCACATCCCACAGCTCCTGTCCTGAGCGGTGTGTGTCCTCCAGCAGCCTTTCCAAAATGCCAACCACAGGAAAGCAGCAGAAACCCAAGCTTTCCTTTTGCTTGGATTCCCATCAGTTCCCAGAGTTTAATAACAGACTATTCCAGGCTCCCTTGCTCGGGTTGGTTTGGCTCATCACGCTGGGGCCGAGCGCTGTCTCCCGGGCAAAGCAGCAGCAGGGTGAGAGGATGGGGAAGGAGAAGCCACGTTAAGGCATGAGCGGTTTTGCCAGGAGTGTAACCCCACTCTGCCCTTCCTGCTGCCCACGGGGGTCCCTGGCCAGCCCCAGTCCCACGCGGGGGGCAGCGGGGGCTCCCTGGGATGGGCGCAGCACCAGCACCCCTGGGGAAGTGGGGGGACCCACCTCTTCCCGGGCCCCCTTCAGCTCCTCTCGCTCCATTTGTCCGCCAGATGCTGAGCCAGATGTTGGCGCTTCGATGTCCGCCCGCTGGCACCGGCAGCGCTGGGGATGGGGGATGCCCGGTCTTTCCCCGCTCCCGGCGCTCCCGGCGCCTCCGCACCGCCACCTCCCGGGCATCCCGCGGCTCGGGCGCGGCGGAGCTTCCAGAGGGAAAGCGGAATTCGCGTGTGCCTTGGGGGGCAGAGTTTGTTTGTTTTCTTTATTGTTCGATGCCTCCCGCCCTCGTAGCTTGTCCCTGCCCGGCTCCCGCCGGCTCCCGATCGGAAAGCGAAGACGAAAGAGCAGCAGCCCTGGTGCTCCCTATGTGGACTTCCTTGGCTGAAAATCATAGTCATGGAATAATTTAGGCGGGAAAAGCCCTCTAAGATCATCGAGTGCAACCGTTGCCCCAGCACTGCCAAGGCCACCACTAAAATATGTCCCTAGGTGCCACATCAACATGGCTTTTAAATCCCCCCAGGGATGGGGACTCCACCACTGCCCTGGGCAGCCTGTGCCAGGCCTGGACAGTCTTTTCAGGAAGGAAATTTTCCCTAATATCCAACCTAAACCTCACCTGGCACAACTTGAGGCTGTTTCCTCTTTCCTGTCACTTGTTATCTGGAAGCAGAGCCCGACCCCCACCTGGCTCCACCCTCCTGTCAGGGAGTTGTAGTGAGTGAGAAGATCCCCCCTGACCCTCCTTTTCTCCAGGCTTAACCCCCCAAGCTCCTTCAGCTGCTCCTCATAAGACTGGTGCTCCAGTCCCCTCCCCAGCTCCATTGCCTGCCCTGGACACAATCCAGCCCCTCAATGTCCACACAAAGATGGAGAGTACTGGACAGGACATCTGCCCTGTATGTACAGGGAGCTCATGATGGACTGAAGGACCACTGGTCCATCTGTCCCATGGAGCAGAGGTGTGTGTTCCCACCCTCCAGCACATCCCACTGCCCAGTCCAGCTGTGCAATGTGGACCGACCCAGCTTTTACCTTTCTCTGGCATTTTCTTGTCCCTCCCTCCCTGCCTCCCTCCCTTCTTTTGTTCCTTCTCTTTCCTTTCTTCCCTTTCCTTCACACTTCAGAAAACCTCTCACAGCACACTTGGGCTCCCTGCACTTACTGGGAAAGATCTTCACGTGTAATGATTTTATTAAATCTTATAATTCTCCTTCCTCCCCCTTCGCCTCACCTCTCACCCTGAGGACAAACTCCCTGAGGTGAGCATGGTTTCCCTGGGCAATGCCATCCTGGCTTGTCCATCTGTCTGAAGCAATTACTGTGGCTTCCCTGGGGTTATTTTTCAGCCCAAGTGTTGACATTTTTCCCCGGTTGGGCGTCAAGCGTGTACCTGCGGGGGCGGTTTCTGAGCGGCAGAAGCCTAACGAGAGGAGAGCCCTGGGTTAATGAGGTGTTGCAAGACAGCACAGCTAAATCTGGCATTACACGTTCCAACTTTCCAGTTTAATTAGAAACCTGGATCTCCCGCTCATGCATTCATTCACTTCTTGACTTGAGTGACAGCCCGGCCTTTCACAGGGAAAGCAACCACGGCGTTTAAGAAGGGTGTTGATGTTGTGGGCCTTCCACATCGCTCTGTCTTGCCCAGCTTTGAGTTTGCCATGGGAATATCATGCTGGGCCCATGAGAGCAGCTGAGCCAGGGCCATCGGTAGTGTCTGGGTCCCTCTCTTGGCCTTTCTCCTGCTGCAGCTTGTTGGCTGAAATCCAGGATTTTTGCAGATATTCTGTCCTTACTGGGCACTGTCAGGTACTTCTCAACTCTTATCCACTGCAATGAAGCGAGTACAAGTTCAGAGCAGCACGGATGGCAGAGGTGGAGGGGTCCATCCTGTTGAGGGATCCATGTCCCTGTAGGTGTAGGATGAGGGAACGCATGAGGACGATGAAGACACCTCCATGGGGTAGTGCTTGCCAGCTGAAAGGTTGCAGGGAGCTGTGTCTGCTCTGGTGTGAGTTATATTAAGGGGCTTAGATGTGAAAATAAGGCAACATTGCAAATCACAGATGTTTGCCTGTTCAGGCTTACCTGGGACACAGGGATACTGAAAAACCCCAAAGTTATCCCACTGATGTGCTTAATTTTTTTGAGGGGGGAAGACAACAGTGCAGAGTAGATTTTTTGTAAGCATTATTGTTTTCTTTTAATTGAAATGTTTTAGTTGGTATGTAGAAATATATATATTAAAAATGTGCCTTTTTGGCTCTTGGGAATTCTAAGTAAGAACTGAAAACTGATGTCTGTGGTCCTTCCAGCATTCGGTGTGCACAGAGTAAATACTTGCAAGACCACCCATCTGCCCTCCCTGTGGGTAGCTCTACGGGAATGTTGCTGTGTAAAGGACAAGAGGAGCAGCTGGTACCTGCAGGATTAGCAAAATTCACCTTTCTGCTCCATTTCCACATGGATCCCACAGGTGAGAAGCAGCACTGAAGGGACATGGCAGTGAGAAGGTGCAAGGAGCTGGTGCAGGCTCCTTCACAGCCACGGCTCTGCCATTCCCATGCCAGCTCCCTGTTTGCCCAGGAGCACTGGGATTACCTGTGATGCTATCAGTGCTGGGGAGAAGGTTTCAGAGCCAGCAAGTGCAGGAGTGCAGTAATTAGAGAGACTGTAAAGTGCAGTAATTAGCAACTAATTGCTGTAGCAGAAATATGCAAGGCAGAGTGCCCTTTATTCCTCTCTTGTGTAGAGATGGCTGCTTGGGGTTTGCTGGGAACAGAGAGCACTTGTCTCTTGTCCCTGTCCATGATGGCAGGATAACACAAGGGGGAATGCCTTTAAGCTGAAGAAAAGTAGATTTAGATTAGATATTAGGGAAAATTCCTCCCTGTGAGGGTGGTGAGGCCCTGGCACAGGTTTTCCAGAGAAGCTCTGGATGCTCTGGGTGTAGTGTGGCAGCTTGGTGCTCCTGTGATGCTCTCAGTGGCAGGAGTGGCTCTTGAGCTGCATCATGCCAGGTGAGGAGAAACAGCTTCTCACAAGGTTTGGGAGTCATCAAGGGGCTCCAGTGGCATTTTTAGAGCCCCATGTAGCCAGACACCAGAGCAGTGGGGGAATCCCCCTGGGAATGTGTGCGATGTGCAGCCACTGTCACGCAGCCCCTTCCTGACACCCTCACACCAGTCACTGACTGCCACTGCCACTGAGACAGCATCAAGGGGCTTTGGTGCCTGGAATTACCTATGAACAGACTGTAGAAGAGACATACTTACTTAATAAATAAATAATAATAACATGTGGCAGGTACTAGCATAAAATACAGCACTACAGGTGTTGTGAGGGAGGCCAAGGTCTGGGTCTGGAGCTTTGCCTGCTTGTTCAGCTTAACACACCAAGGATATTGGCCAGCATTCACCAGGCTGGCCCTGGATAACAGGACTGATGGTGCAGTCTGGGATTGCTTGAGGTCACGTTAGAAGCTACATACTTAGATAGATAAATACGTTAATACACAGTATCCAGGAGGGGTTTGCCTTAGGATGCCTGGGGACACAAAGCATGCACTTCTCTGGTAACTGGGGTGACCTTGGGGTGCCCTTTGGGCAGGTTTCTGGGTGCCTGCCTGGGGCAGGTCCATGTGTGTCCCCAGGATCTGCAGCGTGGTCATGGCACACAACAGAGGACAGCGGAGGGCAGGGGGAGCCAGGGGGGCCGGTGGCCCTTGGGAGGGTGTCAGGGCTCTTCCCCTCATCTCTGCGAAGCTTTGTGCAGAGCTGAGGAGCTCTGCTTTGGCTAGTTTTGGTAAAGCCTTGACCTAAAGCTCGGAGCTCTAACGAGCTCTAAGGAGGCGGCAGCGGTTGGGTTTTGGTATTTGGGGTCATCTCTGAGCTGCTGGGACGGGGCTTAGTCGGCTGAGACAGGCAGCGGGAGGAAGAGAATCGCCTTCTGGCCGTAGTGAGTCCGCGGCCCCAGCTTGCTGTTCCCGTTCTTCTTCAGACCCACAAACCAGTTCTTATCAGCGTGCTTTTTGGAGATGTACGTGTTGTAATGGTTTTCTTCGATCCTTTCCAGGAACAGGCACTCCTCACCCAGTAACTGCTGAAAGAGAGCCCGGGGGAATGACAGTGAGCAGGGGCGATGCCGTGGGGATGGGGATGTGTGTTCCTAATGCGGTAATCCCAGCTCGGGTACTCCCTGATAGGATGCTGTCCAGACCCACCTCTGAGATCTCCATGCCCCAGTAAAGCTCATCATAAAGCATGGAGGTAAGTAGCCTTGATTTTGTCCCCTGGGCCACTCCTGCAGCAACATATCTATGGCCTGGACATTTTATTTGGCAGTGATCGAGTCTGGCCCCGTGCTCCATAAGCTGAGCCTGGCCCTGGCTCCTGCTCTGGCACTAAGCTGTGGGGTGGCAGCTGCAGGCTCAGAGCACAGAACCATGGAATGGTTTGGGTTGGAAGGGGCCTTAAAGATCATCTCATACCATCCCCCTTCCCCTAGCCCAGCTGTCAGCTGCTGAAGGGCTGCAGAGCAGCTGCTGCTCCAGGTATGAAACACAATATTTATCAAACATCAGATAGGAAATCCAATATTTGTCAGAGGCAGGGCGGTAATGGCGATATTTGGTTATTTATTTATTTCCCCCCAAAATAAAGCCAGATGCAGAGCGACTGTCCAGCTGCCAGAATCACAAACAGAGCCTAATTATTGCCTGTGGTTTGCATTACTCAGAGCTATGAGATTTCTGCAAACCTCAAGCCCTCTCTGTGTCTGGTCCCACAGGATCCTCCCACTTACCGAGCCATAGAGCATCCCGTTGGTGTCCATGGCCAGGTACTGCCCCGACTGGGTGCTCTTTATGTACACCACTCCCACGCTTTCTGCGCTCAGCTGGAGCTGGACTGGAAGTAAAAATGAAACAATAACAACAACAGTAAAAGGAAAATAGGAAAAGGGGGGAAAAGAGCTGCTAGGAAGGTTAGAAGGGTGTTTTGTTCCAAAGCCTGGCTTATAAAGTGTTTATAGGAAACAGTACAGTGTGTAATAAAAGTGTCTCCTTGTACCCTCTCCTTCAAAGAAACCCCACAGCCATCCTTTAGGAACCAAAGACCAATTTTCCCCTTATTTTACATCAAAGGAAGGGCAGCCTTTTGGTTACGATGTTGGAATGGGACACAGGAGATTGGGGTTTTAATTCTGGCTCTAATTTACAAATTTCTCATGTGGTTTGACAAGACACTTAAGGAGTGACATATGAAGAAGTATTTTGAGAGCTAAACCAGTGATGGGCAGAGTGCAGATGCCTGCAGTGCAAACTCCTGATCCAGCATATCCCATCCAGCCCTGTGCTCTGGCTGGATTTATTCGGGGCATTGTAGGTGGAGAGTGGAGAAATGGCAAAGTCTGATCTTCATCCTTAAAAAGTACCTCCTGTAGGTAGTCACACCTTAGATTGTCCCAATGTGTGATGCTAACATGGATTTGATGCTGAAGCAGGACCTGGGTCTGCCAGGGCACAGCCTGAGTGGGAGCAATGGAAGCTACCTCAGTCCCTGCAGCCACTGGACACCGGATTCCATCCCCATCCCCGATGCTGGACCACAGCTAGAAACTCCAGGGCAAAAAAAGTTCTTTTTTGGTCTTGTGCTGAGGGAAGTGAGCAGGGGAGCTGCAGCATCCTGCTCTACTCAGCATCCTGTACCTCACCCAGCAGCTTTAAACTTTCCATTCGTCTGGTTCCTTTTTTCCTTACTTTGCTGATTACAGGAGTCTTGGAAAGTGATTAAAACTTGGCTCAAGTACTTGTTGAATATACTTATCAGGAAAAGGCTGTTTAGTTGGAGAGAAGCCTTGGGAGGACAGTTCTCCAGTGCTGTGTGATCAGGGAGGAGCCCATGGGGCTCTCATGGGTGGGCAGGAACGCTGCAGCCAGAGCCATTAGTGGCCCCACCGGTGGGTGCGGAGGCTGTGGCTCTGTGGCTGTAGTTAGTGTGACTGGCAAATTCCAGCTCTTCCAAATGATCATTCCCATCTCCTAGACAGTTTTTTTTCATGAGATTTATAACAGCAATATTTAGATTGGTTTGAATGAAATATGAACGGATGCCTCAGCTCCAGCTCCTTCCTTCCTGTTTATATTTAATTTATTTATCCTTATTTAGATGAGGTAAAAGGCAATGTTACCTCTCGGCCTGGCAGAACACTCTTCCCAGTGAAATCTTTGCTGTAATTGTTCACATTCTTCCTTATTTTCTTTTTTTCATTTCTTGCCAGTAAATGATGGCTAATTAGGAAATGGTGTGGGTGCAGATTTGCAGGAATACACAGTCCCAGTGCATGCCTGGTTTAGGCAGTGGGAAAGCTCCAGGCCACGTACATTCACTCGGGTGCTGCAGCCCCAGGAGCAATCCGGGGGAAAGAGGGGATTGGGATGAAAATGATGATCCTTTCCTAAAAGCTGTTCCTGAGAGAGGGGAGTGAGGATCCCTCCAGCTGCCAATGGGGACATTGAGGTCTTCAGCCATAGAGAGAAGGGAGAACGGTGGGTCCGGAGGAAGGAGCTTGTGCTTCTTATGTCCTTTTACAGGTCTGATTTCCTTCCATGAAGTAATGGGATGAAACAGGAAAAATAAGGCTGTTTGTGGTAACAAGCTTCGTCCCAAGGTGTCTGCAATGTCCTGGTAAGTTTTCTTCCCATTTCACAGTGCAAGCTTGGGATGCCCACACATAACAACAAAGAATGCAGGGAGGGAATCCTGACATTGGCCTGGATGACAAGGGCTTGGAGGGACTCCTGCACTCCTTAGAGATCCTCCCTGATTCCAGGGCTAGCACCTGGCAAGGCCAAGGTAAAGATAAGAATTTTTTATATTTGTCAAGAGCGAAATGAGCTCAAGCAGTTTGCAGAGCCTCAGTGCAGACTATAATGCCTCTGTGCACATTGGCTTCCCAATGAGCTGTGGGTGTTCCCATGCCTTGTCCCTCCCTGGGGCTGGCAGGTGCCTGTCCCAGCTGGGTGGGAGTATCCCATGGTGCTGGTCACAGTCCAGGCTGCTCCCCTTGCACTCCAGGGAATGGTGCTGAGCAGCTCCAGCATTTCCCAGGCACAGGGGCAGGACCATGGGCAGCCGCCGGTGCTCAGAGCAGGGCACCTCATGGCAGGGCTGCTCTGCTGGCATGCAGCCCTTCCAGGAGTTTCCTCTGTAAATATTAGTACATTCCTATATCCAAGTTTATGAGATCATTTACAGGAGGTTCCTTTCTGGCAGAGGTTTTCAAACACATGGCCCCAGGCCAGCAGCCGGGGAGGTGTGGAGTGTGCTGGGGCGCAGGACCTGCCTGCACTCGCTGCCCGTGTGTGCTATGCAGCCGTGGAGACCAGCTCATTCCCAGGTGATGGATTTGTTTTTCCAGAGGGAAAAAGTCTGGGCTGTGTGGCAGCATCCATGCCATCAGATGGCAAGTTGAGGCTGAGGTGCAGGAGCTGGAATGCTCAAGGCCCTGGTAGCTTCCCCTGTCCCTGGAGATGCCATCTTGACCCTCACCTCTCCTTCAGACTCCAGCAAAACCTCTGGAAAATGCTGCAGAGACACTGGGTGAGCTCATATGACCTCTCCTTGTGCGTCTTGTGAGCATGGTCCTGTCTCCTGCAGATCCTTCGGGTCATTGTCCTGGCTGACTCTCCCAGGGGTTTGAGCAGGGTTATGTGCTGGGTTCATACCCAGCTGGAGTCTGGAACCCCACTCTGTGTTCATCCAGCCTCAGGAAGCTGATCCTCATCCATGCCCCAGCACTGCCTCGTGCTGGGCAAGTGGTGGGAGACAGTGTTTGTAATTAAAACTCAACTATAAACTGCCTGTCATTAAAATAATAGCGAGAGGAAAGGTTAAGTTCGGGGAGAAGCCACATGTGCTGCTTGTGGTTTAAAGTAAATAAAAGTACTTTTTGTAGCACTTTGTAGGGCTGACTTGGCTCCTCCCAGCCCTTCCTTCTAATCAGATAGGAGCTTGGCAGGTCCCAGTCACATTCCAGTAAATGTTCAGGGTATGGTACCCAGAGGTTTCTGCTGAGAGCCAAAGGGAAGAGCCTGGTCCTGCTGACCACGGAGCACCCCTGAGCTTTGCTGTGTGGCTGGTCCAGCTCTCTTGGGCATCGGGTTAAAAAAAACCCACTGAAGAGTTTTTGGCAGTGCAAGAGCTAAAAAAGCATAAAACTTCCCAGTGACTCCTTGGTATGACAAATGATGGCATCTGTGGGGGCAGTTTCTCCCAGCAGCAGGTCCCCATAGTCCCGTGGGCTGGAACCACCAGCATCATTGATTGCAAGGATGGGGACAGGTGACATGAGACCCTGACCATGGGTGACCTGTTAAAATGCTGTGGCAAACAGATGCAAATGCAGAAACAGCACAGAATTCCAAGTGATGCCTTCCTATGTGGGATGCCAGGGCTGCTCTAAGCCCTTTGTGCCAGCTGCCAGCTTCCCGTGTGACCCAGTCCTTCTGCATCAGTGTTGCCTGCCCTGTATCTGCCTGCCTTTCACAAGGTGGTGACCAGTGTCATATTTAATACTTCATATATCTCTTTATGTACTTTATATCTGTACTTTTATAGCACACATACTGTGCCTTCCCTGCTCTGCCTGTGGGCTATAAATGTGTGACTCCTGGAAGGTGTGTCACCACCAGGACTAAAGAAACCTTGGTCCAGAGCCTGCCTTCCCCAGCTCCCCCCATCCCAGCTGATGGAATCATAGGAGCAAGGAGGGCACCAAGAAGACCCCATGGGTTTGCTTACTGTGCTCGTCGCTTCGGTCCCTGGTCCCATCCACTGTGCCATCTGGGAGGATCCGTAGGAAGTGGCCCCCGTTGCTGCAGTACAGGAGTTTGGGTTTCTTGTAGTTCCCCGGGGGCAGGTTGAACTTCTCTGTCAGGGCAGTGAAGGTGGTGATTTCTCCCTCGGCCATCCCGCAGCCTCTCCCACGGCCGGGCTGCAAGAGATGTGGCAGCAGGGGTGGCACCAAGTGCTGGGCACAGGCTGCTGCTCCTGGGCTTTAAAGGGAAGCGGGGAGGGGGGAGCCCGGGGGTCCCTGCTGGTCCCCGGGCTGGCTGCAGGGCAGGTGATTCACAGCGGTGATGGCTCTGGCAGTGACAAAAAGTGACACAAAGGTGATGCTCCTCCAGCGTGGGAGGTGGCGGGGGGCTGTCTCCTCACTGGGAGGGGCTCTGTCCTTTTAATTTTATCATAGTGAATTCTGTTTTTGTTCTGCTTTCTATTGACGTATGTGCTAAAATTATACACTCAAAAACCAATTTGAAAAACACCCAGTGTCTGATTGGAACCCACAAGAGGCGGGAAGGGAGCCCAGGTAATAACTTTCTCCGCTATTATGACTCTCAAACACAATTATGACCAGGAATTGCAACACCCACTGCATGCCAGGTAGTAAATATTGCTCGTATCTTGGCACTTAACAGCTCACCTGGCCCAGGAACACACAGAAAAAAGGTCAGAACACACATTAGTCGTGGTGGGAGATGAGCAGGGGGCAGGAGCTTTCACTGCCTGGGGGTGAGTCCGAGGATTACCCAGACAGTGATTAAGAGCATATGAAAAACAAGAACTGTGAGTCTAGATTATGCCATGACTATATCAGCAGCATTCCAGTGTTTAAAGGGACTATAGGAGAGCTGGAGAAGAACTTAGAGAAGGCCTGGAGTGACAGGACAAGGGGGAATGGCTTCCCACTGACAGAGGCAGGGTTAGATTGGATATTGAGAAGAAATTCTTCCCTGTGAGGGTGGTGAGGCCCTGGCACAGGTTGCCCAGAGAAGCTGTGGCTGCCCCATCCCTGGAAGTGTTCAAGGCTTGGACCAGGCTTAGAGCAACCTGGTCTAGTGGAAGATCATATTGAAACCTCATTTTGTAGGAGACTGTATGGTCATGATCCATGTTTAAGCTGACACTGCAAAAACCTGAAGGCATCAGACTGATAAGAAGAAGATGCTGTGGATGTCTGAGGGTGACAACTGCCCTCACAGCTGTGTCATCAGGAGATGACATGGGAGATGACTAGAGTCCCACACACATTCCAGGTACATTCATGTTTCTAGCCTACAAACTACACTTAAAATCTCCTGTGAATTCATTCTCTCTTTCATATGTGGAGTTCCATAGTGCTTAGAGAGAAGTGGATTTATGAACAGAAAAAGACATGGCACAGAATAAATCTAGATACAGGAAATTACTTTAAATGTCATGTATTCCCATAGCTGGATTATGGAAAATATTTTATAGTCACTGTTTATATGTGTTTATAGATTGTAAAAATGTCTCTTTAGCACTGAGTTGTGCTACTGGTACATTGGGATGCAGCCAGTACCACGCTGTGTGGGTTTGCTGTGGTGCTTGGAGTGCCCTGGGAGATATTAAGGATGGCAACTCTCTGCAATACACACTCACACACACACACACATATATATACATAGAATCTCTAAACATTTGGCTCTAAACTCTTCAGTAATTAAATCTACAAATGCAGCTGCAAAAAGGGAAACTACTCGTTGAAATGGATCCCAGAAGCCTGCAGAGGATAAAAACATCTGCAAGTTGGATTGCTAAAAGCTGAAACCTTGGACATACATGTATGGCTGTTGCTGAAAGCACTCCCAGCCATTGCACCAGCTTTGCTTCATACAGACTTCATTCCTTGCTCTCAGATACCCCATTCAACACAGACCAGGATTTTGGGAAGTGCTCTCTGGAGTGATAACATGGGCCAAACCCCTGCTTCTCTGAGACTGGTGAATCAACCCACAACAGCTCCTAAGGTCTGTGGCTCCTGATGGTTTCAAAAGCAGGTGATGGACCAGCCAAATACAAACTCAAAATCCTTTTTGAACACCATTGTCAGGTGAATTAGGTATTTCTCTGAGTGTTTGGTCCCTAAATTTACTTTCCTGTCAAGAGATTGTACTTTCCATGCAGTAGTTTGTTTTTCCTTGCCAATTCCTTCTCTGAAGGAAAGCCTGTAAGTCACCCAGTGCAGCCCAGGGGGCTCTGGTGCATTACTGAGCGTTAATCAAGATCAGCGGCGTTGTGTAATTTCCTGGAACCAAAGCTTTTCTTGAACCTTTATCTGAGTGCAAAAGGCACTCAGGAGTCTCCTGGGCTGATGATGGATGTTACTGAGAAAGAAATATCCCAGCTCCAAGAGCTCCAATCAGGATCTCAGCAAACCCTGAAGCCAGCAGCAGCGAGGAACAGGCTGGATGCTCCCCATGGTCACCTCTAGGTCTGAGGGCATCTCTGGGTGGCTTGACCAGAACAGCTTCTTCATAATTACTTATTTCCTTTAAGGGTTTTTTGCCATTTTTAGAATGACTCCAGTGCTCACCAGCTGCCTTAACTGCCTCAGAAAAGCTGAATGAACACTTTTCCGCTCCTGTTGTCTCTGTGCTAAACACTATCGCTCTCCTCATACTTTATGACCATGGAGTTCTTCCTCTACACACACCACCACTCATGGCCCTACAATTATACTTTTGGCAGGAACATGTTAGGTTTTTATGGGAATTAAAAAGCACGAGTGAGAGAGAGAACCTGAACCAAAGACAACATAAAGGGCCTTATTTCTTTGGGTAGAAGCCCAACAGTGCTATTAAATAGCTCAAAGCAGAACAGAGAGCTCTCTCCAAGAAGCAAAGCTGAGAGTCACCACACTCCAGCAGTTATTTGGTGCCCCATGGAGAAAGGAAAATGTTCCAGGAGAAGATTGCTGTAGGAGATTGTTGCTGCTGAGCACTGACCCCGCCGGTCGCACTAGGACAGTGAGTTGGAGCTGAGTTGGAGACTGTTTGTCCAAGACCAGCTGTGTTTGTGGCTCCTCTTTCCTGCACCTCTGTGTAACAGCTTTCCTGTGCTGTGCTAAGAGAAAACCCCCACAGAGAATGAATCACTGGGAGCTGGACCCAGGGCACCTGCTCCAGGGCAGCCCCAGCTCTCTCTGTCTGTGGCACAGGGGACAGAGGGTCCCACCAGCAGCCTGGTGGCACCCAGCTCTTTCTCCTGGAAGGAGATGTCAGCACCCCAAAGGATCAGAAATAGCCTTCTGAAGGACAAAAAGGACTTAAAAAGAGAGTTAAACCCGAATGTTCATTTGATCCAGGTCCTGCTGAGCTGTGGTGGCTGAAGCACTGCCGCGTGCCTGCTCCTTGCAGCACTGAGGGGAGATGAGCCCGGCATGGGACCGGAATAGCTGTGAAATTCTGAGAAGTTTGGCTTTGGTTCCAAACTTTATCACTGGCCAAACCAGTGGCTTTGATGTGAAATCCCAGACTCTGCAAGCATCCGAGTCTGAGCATCGAGGGCTGGTTGCACTGCCAATAATGGGCGTGTGAGTTCCGAAATAACAGTGCAGGCTGGGAGCCATGGAAAAGGAGTGGGGTCCTTTTCCCTTCCTGTTTTAAAGTCGATGCAGACTTCACTAGATAGCACTGCTGTCCCCTTTGCTTGCATTGCAAAGGTGGTGTTGATGGCAACTTGGAGGATTGCTAATGGTCCAAAAGTTTTTTGCATGTCTGGATTGCCAGGAACTTTTGTGGCTTCTCTGTGGTTCCTGTGGCACAAATTAAGTAGCCAGCAAAGATTCAAATTGGGAGGTGGCCAATTAAGGTGAGCCTAGCTTTTTTTCCTTAGATATAAAATACCTGGCTACTAAGTGGAGGAAAGCAGAAGTAGCTCACCTATTGGGTTAAAACCAGATTGGAGTATAACCAAATACTTCAAATTGTCCTTGGACACAATCCTTTATATGGGGTTGGAAAGAAATATTCTGGATAGTCTCTGTGTGGCTACAGTGATGAAAAGTGCAGTTAATCACAATTGTCATTTAGATGATCAGCTAAAGATCATGCAGAGAATTAGAAGGAGAATTCCAGAGAGATGTGAACCTGCTAAACCCGGGAGTCTCCTAAGAGTCAATCAACGAGATCAGCGTCTCCCGAACCCAGCTCTTGTGAGTTCAGTGGAAACACTCCAGTTGGTTTACTTTGGAAAGTGTTATTTTCTCCAATAAAGTAGAAATCCTGTTTCTACCTGGGTGTGTGACTCAGCTGGGATCAGACAGCATCACTGCCTGATAAGCTCCTTTCCCATTCTCACTTCTGACTGCAGCCACCCGGACAGAACAGTCACTTCCCAGGCAGTTCAGACACTCCATATGGGAATCAAAAGCAATTACTACAGGTAGAATATTCTTTATGAATTCAGACTCTGGCTTTCCTCCACCCACTGTCTGTCCTGAGGGTTCCCTAAGCAGCCTGTGGGCTGCCCATTACGGCTTTGGGGTGATCTGAGAACACCTGGGAATGTGGAGTAAACATCTCTTGGATAAACAATGATTTTATTAATCATAAGTTTTAGAAATCCATTACATGGGATAGATTTTCTCATCCAGGAAAGGATTAGAGACCAGGCAGAGGTTTCCTCATGCTCTGGTTGCTGCAGGAGTGGCAGCACAGTAGGTCTGGGGTTATCAGATGCCTCCCATCCCGAGGGCTCATGGTGCAAGGCACGACTTGAATTCCTTGGCTATGCATCCTCTTAGAAGGACTTAAATGATTAGGTAAAGCATACAATAAATATGTAATAGGTCATTCTGTATCAGCAGAATGCATTGGCTCGTTTCTAGTCTTGTTTATGGCCAGGTGATTCTATCTCTAGCAATGTGATTAACTGCTTAATGAAATATTTATCAGCCAGGTTTTACCCTTTGGAAGTGGAATATGTTGCATGAAGTGTGACCAAAACTGTAGAAATCAATTTAACTAATGCCTGCTGTCATCATCTCCTGCTCTCCAGCAGGAAACACAGTCATTCCACTCTGGTCATGCTGGATTTGTGGCAGGTAAAACAGACAGGGGTGAAACTTTTAGTATTTTCCTGAGTGTGTGTCACTAATGGCTGATGACAAACACCAGGAGCATCATG